TTCAAGCAATCAACTGCTTTTGGAAGCTCTTCGGGAGTTCCAATGATGTTTATGTCATCAACATAAACTGATATTATAACAAACTCACTACCCGATCTCTTTAGAAAAACACATGGACAAATAGGGTCATTCTTGTATCCTTCTTTCATCAAATATTCACTGAGACGATTGTACCACATTCGTCCAGATTGTTTCAATCCATACAAGGATTTGTTCAATTTGATAGAAAAATTTTCTCGAGAATGTGTTTTGTTTGCTTCTGGCAAAGTGAATCCTTCAGGGAGTTTCATATATATATCATTCTCAAGTGATCCATACAGATAGGCTGTCACAACATCCATTAGACGCAGATCTAGTCCTTCTCGAACTGCTAGACTAATCAAGTATCGAAACGTAGTTGCATCCACCACAGGGGAGTATGTCTCCTCATAATCAATGCCAGGTCTCTGTGAGAATCCTTGTGCGACAAGACGTGCTTTATATCTCACGACTTCACCCTTTTCATTTCTTTTCCGCACAAAAACCCATTTGTATCCCACTGGCTTTACGTTTTCTGGTGTAAGGACTACCGGTCCAAAAACCTTTCGCTTTGAAAGCGAGTTTAATTCCGCCTCAATGGCCTCTTTCCACTTTGGCCAATCATCTCTTGATTTGCATTCATCAATAGATCTTGGTTCATGATCCTCATTTTCATTCATCACACTCAACGCTGCAGCGTAAGCAAAAACATCGTCGACGATTATTTTACTTCGGTTCCAACATTTTCCATCCAAGACATTATTGATTGAGATCTCTTCATTATCAAAACTTTCAGGTACCTGATGTTCTTCGGGAACTACAATCTTAGTTATGCTTGGGGACTCTTCTTGAGCTTTCATATTCTCGATTTGATCAACTTGATTCATAGCTCCTTTTCTTTTTCGTGGATTTTTATCCTTGGAACCTACTGGTCTACCACACTTCATTCGTGGTTTAGATTCATTCGCAATTTCAGATTGTCCAACAGGGACATCAACTTTCACTGGAGCATTTACAGCTGGTATGTGTGACTTTGTCACTCTTTTCTGGTCAGTAAACGAATCCGGCAGTTGGTTTGCTAAACCTTGTAAATGAATTATCTTTTGAACTTCCAGTTCACATTGTCTAGTACGAGGATCAAGGTGAGATAATGATAATTCATTCCAACAAATATCTTTTCCCAGCTGTTTGTTCTCACCCCCTAATGTTGGAAAAACTGATTCGTCAAAATGACAATCAGCAAAACGAGCAGTGAATAAATCTCCCGTCAAGGGTTCTAAGTATTTTATGATTGACGGGGACTCATATCCAACATAAATTCCCAACCTCCTTTGAGGACCCATCTTAATACGCTGTGGTGGAGCAATATGGATGTAGACGGCACACCCAAATATTTTTAGATGGGAAATATTAGGTTCCTGACCAAAAACCATTTGCAAGGGGGAAATTTCATGATAACTTGTTGGCCTTATGCGAATTAATGTTGCCGCATGCAATATAGCATGTCCCCAACAAGAAATTGGCAAGCTTGTTTTCATAAGCAATGGTCTTGCAATAAGTTGCAAACGCTTAATAAATGATTCTGCAAGGCCATTTTGTGTATGAACATGTGCTACAGGATGTTCAACATCAATCCCAGTGGACGTACAATAGTCATTGAAAGTTTGTGAAGTAAATTCACCAGCATTATCTAGACGTATTTTCTTGATTGGAAAATCAGGAAAATGTGCTCGTAGTCGTATCAATTGGGCAAGTAATCTAGCAAACGCCAGGTTGCGAGTTGATAGTAAGCACACATGTGACCATCTAGTTGATGCATCAACTAAAACCATAAAATATCTAAATGGTCCACATGGTGGGTGAATTGGCCCGCATATATCACCCTGTATACGTTCTAAAAATGTGAGAGATTCACTCCTTACTTTCACAGGTGATGGCCGTATAATTAACTTGCCACGAGAACATGCAACGCATGGTACATCTTTAAACTGATAAATTTTGTGACCTTTCAATGGATGTCCACATGTATTGGCAATGATTTTTCGCATCATAATCAATCCGGGATGGCCTAACCGGTCATTGCCAAACTATAAAATTATCAAGATTTGTAAACTTCTGGTTTACCACTGCATGTGTTTCAATTGTACTAATAAACGTGTAGTACAACCCAGAAGAAATAGCAGGCAATTTCTCCAATATGTATTTTTTATCGGAGACCATATTTGTTATCATAATATACTCTTTATTCTCTTCTTCCTTTGTCTCAATATGATATCCATTTCGGCGAATATCTTTGTAACTCAATAAATTTCTTTGAGACTTTGAAGAGTATAAGGCTTCATTGATATATAACTTGGTTCCTTCTGATAACAATACACTAGCTCTTCCGGAGCCTTCAATTAAATTTGTACTTCCAGATATAGTACTAACATTTGCTTCTCGCATTTCAAGATGCGAAAAATATTTCTTATCCTTCAAGATTGTATGTGTCGATGCACTATCAATAAGACACACATCATGGTTTTTGATCTTGGTGCCTAGCATGGGAATATTCATTCTTCACAAAGATAGAAAGTAAATCAATATAAGAAAATATCTCCAAATAAATATAAAAATAATGACATGATAATATTAGATGAAATTAAACCATATAAGGATTGTAAAGAGAAATTATATTAAACTGACACATTAATAGGAAAAACACACTCAAGGAAAACGACAAAGAAAGTGAAATTTCAAATGGGAAACCTAAACTTTTCACTTGTGAACAAAGCAACAACGAAATAGAAATTTCCAATGGAAATGCTAAGTTTTTCACTTGCGAACATTCTCATCACCAATCAGGTGATCTGTTTGTCCTTCAGGGTGGGCAAAGAAGTCAGACACATCTAGATGAGTAGCATCATTATAGTCTTTTCCTGAATCATCTTCCTCAAAAATACAATTGGTTTCTATCTTCTTCCCTTTCAATGATTCTTGGTAGAGGTTAACCAAGTGTTTTGGCGTACGACAGGTACGAGACCAATGACCTTTTCCACCACAACGGTAACACACATTTTCGACGTGTTTGTTACCATGAACACTTTGTTCCTTGCTTCTTCTACCATCATTTTTTCCACTTCTGGGGAAAAATGAGCTTTTGGAACTTTCACCACGACCATTACCACGACCAAGATCTCGGCCACGGCCTCGAGCATGAGCATGACCACGCCCACGTCCTCGTCCATGTCCACGTCCATGTATTTGCCCATAAGGATATTGGGTGAACGTCGCCGCATTCGCTTCTGGGAATGGGGCGGCACCAGTAGGACGAGATTGGTGATTTTTCATTAGGAGCTCATTATTTTGTTCAGCAACAAGGAGACAAGAAATCAGCTCAGAATATTTCTTAAAACCTTTCTCACGGTATTGCTGCTGCAGGAGCACATTGGATGCATGAAAAGTGGAGAATGTTTTTTCCAACATATCTTCATCAGTAATATTTTCTCCACATAACAGTAGTTGTGAGGTTATTTTGAATAGTTCCGAATTATGATCACTCACAGATTTAAAATCTTGTAACCTCAAATGCATCCAATCATAACGAGCCTTAGGAAGAATCACAGTTTTTTGGTGGTCATACCGCTCCTTCAAATTAGTCCACAAAATAAGTGGATCTTTGACAGTAAGATACTCATTCTTCAATCCCTCGTGGAGGTGATGTCGAAGAAAGATCATTGCTTTAGCTTTGTCTTGATCTGATGCTTCATTGCCCTCTTTAATCGTGTCTCCAAGACCGTTGGCAGCTAAATGAATTTCAGCATCTAGCACCCATGATAGGTAATTCTTTCCAGTGACATCAAGAGCCACAAACTCAAGCTTTGAAAGATTCGACATACTATCATAAAAATATACACAAATTAAAGTCAAAATTCAATAAATAAATATAGATTACTATCAAGACAAACGACTTATGTGACCCATAATATATCAATTTGATATTTTTACAAATATATAAATAAATTCGAATTTCAAAATAAAAAAAAATATTAAGAAGGAAATTATACCTTTGCATTCTCAAACAAAGATTTCATGTGTTGATTAATAAAGGAAATTATGTAAATTGAAATAGGACAATAAAAGAAACAATTTGGGAGAATCGACATACCTTGAGCAGAACAATTATGGATTTAACCTTTTCAAAAGGAAGAGTCTCGTGCTGATAACGTGTTGTAAAACTAATGGAAATGTAAGCAACTACAAGAGAAGATTGGAGGAGGAAAGACACAAGAGAAGTGAGGGGAATAGTTCTTCTTATTCATACTCCATTTGTGATACAATAGTGTGCTCTATTTATAGGCACCCTTTGGTAACCATTACATCAATGCATATGAATTAGAGATAATAATATAGGAATGGGAGTTACATGTAACTCCCAAGTGAGCATCTAATGTGGTAGGTCATTGGTCATCCAAATATAAATATTTACATAATAATTAGTCATTTCTCATCATTACCAAAATAAAAAAAGGGCAATGTCTATTTTTTACCCAAACCTTTTTCAGATTCTTTTATTTTAACCAAACCTATAGAAATTCTATTTATTATCCAAACGTATTATAATTTATCAAAGTCTGGGCATTCATTCTGTTACCGTTACTTATTTTGTCCACGTGAGAGGTGGGATTTTGTTTTGTTTTTTGATAATCTTTTTATTAAAAATAGTAAATGATGGTATTCTGACCGCCACGTAAAAAGTCAACTCATTATGGTCATACTTAGTCAGCATTACTAACAGAAAAGTTGACGGAGAGTTAACGTTTGGATAATTTTTAGGAATTCAATAGGTTTGGTTAAAATAAAAGAATCTGAAAAAGGTTTGGGTAAAAAATAGATATTGCCTAAAAAAAATATTAAAGTTTCAGAAACGAAAACCGACAAAACGCCCCGTTTGATCTTCTTTACTTGGGCTTCGGCCTTCCTGTGAAGTGTGAATGTGGTGACGGGAATACTGGATCAACCGATCAAGTGAATCCCTTCCTTCTAAAACCCTAGCCTCCGCCCCTCCCGTTCATCAAGATTCAAGAGAGACAACGCTGTCTGTACCGGCAAAGCAGAGCTCTACCCAGGCCAAATATGTCCTCCGCCGCCGCGTCAAGGCGTTTGGTTTCCGGTCTCCACCACCTCCTGTCGCTTTCCTCCAGATCATCCTCTGCCGCAGTAGTCACCCATCCGCCATCTCCATTTCATCAATTTCTGAGGGGCTTCACTGCGAGTTCCGATGTACTGCTCCAGCAGCCGCAGGAAATTGTTTTGCCCACACGAGTCATCGAATCCAAGCCCGGCGCCATGTCCCCGTCGTCCAAGCGAACGGGACTCATCGCTGTCAAGTGCGGGATGACTGGTCTTTGGGACAAATGGGGTGCCAGGGTTCCCATCACCGTTCTCTGGGTCGACGACAACATCGTCTCTCAGGTCAAGACTATCGAGAAAGAAGGGATTTTCGCTTTGCAGGTAAGAATCAAGACATTGCCATGCTTTCCGTTCACTGTCTTTTTGTAATTTTTGGGGATTGAAAGGTTAAATATGGTGTTTGCGTGGTTAGATCGGTTGCGGCCAGAAGAAGGCAAAGCATTTAACGAAGCCTGAAGTGGGTCATTTCAGAGCGCAGGGTGTTCCTCTGAAGAGGAAATTGAGGGAATTCCCAGTCACTGAAGATGCGCTGCTGCCCCTCGGCACTTCTCTTGGCGTTCGTCATTTCGTTCCTGGTCAATATGTTGATGTCACTGGAATCACCATGGGAAAGGGTTTCCAGGTTAAGAAACTTTCGCTTTGTTATTTGGAATTGTTTAACTGAATGTGAACGTTTGATGGTCGATAGAATGGTGATTTACCTACCAGAAAGCAAATTGGAATTTCTTGTGCCTGTATGCAGGGTGGAATGAAAAGGCATGGGTTTAAAGGAGGGCCAGCGAGTCATGGTGCATCGTTATCGCACAGAAGTATTGGTTCTACTGGTCAGAGGGATGCTCCTGGTAAGGTCCGTGCTGCCCTTAATACTATCGAGTTCTCTGTTTGCTGTACAGTTCTGTTAAATTAGCTCAATTTAGTCATTCCTTAGCAATATGTTGATTGGCCGTTGAATCATTAGTACGTGATCTGAACAAACTCCCGATTTCTTTTGGTTGTGGAAGTTTCCTTCTTAGATAGTAGACATGTTGGTGGTTTAAAGCTCAACCTGTTAGCTTTCGAAGTTTAAGTTTCTAGACTAAATTAAGCTCTGCGGAGTGTCTTCTTATGATTCTGATACCCATCGACTACGTTACCACCTGCTTTGCATTAGTTTTTTTATATGGTGAGGTTGGATATGTTATACGCATATATTTGTTGTGCAGGTTTTTAAAGGGAAAAAAATGCCTGGGCGTATGGGTGGCAAGCAAAGAACGGTGAAGAACGTATGGATATACAAGATCGACCCAGTTAGGAACTTGATCTGGGTGAAAGGCCAAGTATAGCTCATCTCACCTTCATCTCCATTTCATATGCAAACTCATAAAATGGATCTTTTGCTGTGTAGATTGTCAGGTTGTATGAACAGTTGGCCTCTTGTTGTGTAGGTACCGGGAGCAGAAGGTAATTTCGTGTTTATTAAAGACGCAGTGTACAGGAAGCACGAGATTTCATTGCTTCCTTTCCCAACGTATTTTCCGGGAGATGGCGAGGATGATAGGTTGGAACCCTTGGTTGCCGATCTTGGAGAAGTAGATCCATTCATGCTAGGAGATTAGCAACTTCTGTGAGAAAGCCCTATAGGAAACCTTGGCTGATCAGGAATTCGGACCACTTGTGCTTACTCTGGATAAGTTTTGCTGTTGAGTTGAAAAACAATACTGCGTTGCTCTAGGTTCCCCAACGATGGGAAATAGTGAGTGGGATGTGTAGGTACATAATTTGTCCGTCTGCCCGGCCTTGTTTCGGTTTTTGAACAAGAATAATGTTTTGGTTCCAAATGAGTTGGCATTTAGCTGGTCTATCATTCACTTCTTGATTTCGAAGGCTACACTCCTCTTAAGTCTTAGCCTTAATGTTCCATAGAATGCTGAGAAAGTGGTGAGGTAGTTTTTGGAAATTGGTTTCCCCTTAATCTTGAAACTCTTGTGAGATGCAATGAGGTTTGCTTATGCAGGTAACTGGGTTGTATATGATTTGATCAAATTGATGTTTGATTAGGTTCAACACCCTGCTAATCCTTGTTGATTCTCATTTCGATTTTGATAACATTGTTTGTTATTAGAGAATTTTCAAGCACTAAGACGACCAATAAGTTTTTCAAACATCAGGCACCACTAAAGTAACATATGAAACTGAAAACAACGTAACCGAAAACGGATTAAACAAAATCAAAATCAATATCAATACAACAGAATGTACAGAAAGCATATATACTACAATGAGCAATGTACAACATTAGAAGCATTCTTCAGCACAGAACCAACCAAAACCTCTGATTTTGATCATTGCAATTCCACGAATTTGGAAACACAGTTTGTATACAGAGGATCATAACTGAAAGAGAAAGTAGCTCTATTATAGCAGAAGACTCGAGTAAAGTCTGTTTTAATCCGAAAGGACCCATTTGACATAGAACATTAGACAAATGTTATGATATAGTCACTCCCTGATAACTATTATTCATGGAGAAAATACAGGATGTTAACAAGAACATGCATGTAACATGGGTAAATTTACAGTTACAGGCTTACAGCTACGATTTCTGTTTTCTTTTTCATCTTCCATCATACAAACTTGGTTCGGGTGATTTCCTGTAAGCTAAGATCACCGATCATGACAGGCGGCGGCGTGGTTGACATCAAACCAGACCTGACGGAACACCTTGATAATGAGCTCATGGTACTCGTCAGAGTTCAACGTCAAATAGCAAGCCAGCAATTCTTCCAGGTCCTCCGCCTTCCGAATCCCCATCTCCTCAATCATCTCCACCATCGATTCCCTGAAGTCATTCTGCGGATCGTACGAGCTCTTCACCACCGCAAAGCTCTTCAAACAATCAAATCCCTCCGCCGCCGCCGCCGACGCCGTTTTCTCCGGCGGCTTGGACTTTCTCTTAGCTCTCATCTTCATCTCTTCAATTGCTCTGATTTTGCAAGGTTCGGCCTTGGACGGCGCCCTCGGCGAACCAACTCTGGCTTTCCCTGCAGTCTGCTTGCTCTGTTTCCTCTGCATCGGCTCGCCACTTATGTGCAGAGACTCCTCGCGTCTTTTTCCACTTTGCCCCACTCGGTCGACGAGAGAATATCCGCCGCAAGCTCCAAATTTCCCGCCTTCGTGGATGAATCCCACGCGGCTCCTACTAATTCTGAAACCGCCGGCTGCTGCTTGAATTCTGGGCTCTCTGCCTCTGCATTCTTCCCCTGTTTTTTCTTCGCTTCCGTAACTTCTTCTGAACCCAATTGCCGTTTCGAATTCGATCTCCTCGCCTTCTTCTCCTTCTTCTCTATTCCCGCCGATCTCAGCCTTGGAGTTCTGATTTCCACAGCGGTCTCTCTCGTACCCGCCGCCGGCAAAACCCCAAAATTCCCAACTTCCTCCTCCTCCTCCCCTGTTCTCGTTCCCACTCTGTTTGATCTGGCGCAGCAGCTCCGGCAACTCGACGGCGGGAACTTTTCATCGTCGCTGTCGTCGTCTGAGACGTACTTGTTGTCACCATAAGCTTGGCATTCGTCCCCAAACGACAGCCTCCAGAAGGCGTCGTCATCACCGCCGTAGAATCTCCCTTCCCCACCGCCGCCGACACTATTCAAATTCGGTGAGCTGAAAGGCAGAGCAGAGTTCAAATTCAGTTTACCACCACCACCGCCGCTCCCTTTTGGGTTCGCTGCTTTTGTTGCATATCTCTGCTGCCCTGAGCCCATGCTCATCTGCTTGAACTTGGTGAGCCAAGAGGCCGGAAGCACATGAGAGATCAAGAACGGCCGAGAAGCAGACGATGAAGCAACAACCCTATTCTTCCCCCACTTCATGTCTCTTCCTTCCTAGTACACACACACAGAGAGACAAACAACAACGTTTGATGAAAAGGGAGAAGTAGAGAATTTGGGGTTTGGAGGTGGTTCCTCACTTTCTAGCAGTTTTTGGAGTGCAGTTGGGATGGATGGAGAGGGCTTCTGGACGTGGGTTTCTCACTTATTATTTAGTGTCTTTCCTCCCTCTGGCCCTTGTGTTTCAAAAGAGAGACCTAGTCTGAATCTTGTGACCACTTTTTCCTTTGCTTTAAAACTTTGGCTTTTTGGTGTCCCAAATTTTGAGCTTCTATTCTCTGGAAAATCATTGATGGTAATGCGCTTTTGTTGGGGATTGCAGCAGTTCAAAAAACTAGAAGCAGACAACTATAAAAAAGCAGGAGCAGAGGCTAAAGAAGGGAATTTTAGGGAGGCCTAGAGATGAGGGATTTTAGCAAGGGGACCTCTTTGGATCGCACTTGATAAAAGACATGAATGAAGATGGTAAGTAAAGGAGGAAGGGGGGTTAATCAATCTCTGTTTTGAACTCTCAGTTGCTGCAGCAACCCTCAGTTTCCATTTTGGGTGTCTGAGCTCTTTAAGACCATGCTGTATTTGAACTTTGAAAATGGAGGAGGGTAAGTAAATGTAACTGAGGGGTAGGGGTGGGCATCGGTTCGGTTCGGTTCAAACCGAACCGAACAGCAATATACCGATACCCTGAGTGCCCCCAAAGCTCAAACCGATTTCGAACCGAATTATATTTCGGTTCGGTCTGGCCGAACCGAAATATAATCGGTTCGGAATCGGGAACCCGATGAAACCGACGCTTCCCATCAGTCTTAATGCAAACCTCACAAATTCCCATTCTTCTTCCCCTCGATTCCCACTCCCAGACAGAACCCAACCCACACCCTATATTCCTTCCAATCCCAACCCCATCTCCCACTCTAAAATTTCCTCTTCAATCGTGCACTATGGGAAGAAATCTCATTTCTTCTTCTTTCTCATTGCTTCCATTGTTGCGTTAGTGCGTTGCCAACTCCTTCTTCCCCTAAATGCCACAGCCACCAATCCCAATCTTTCACTTTCCTAATTCCACCAACGGCAAAATCAACTCCCACTCTGTCGTCCCACACCGAGCCCGCAACGCCGCCGCGGGATTAGTTACATGAATCAGCCGGCAGCAGATCGAGGAGGGGGCTGCAAGCTAGCTTGAGTGGGACTAGAAGGCGTTTCCAGATCGGGTTGCCGATAGAGCTTGTCTCCTTGCCGCTAGTTCAGGGTCGCTACTGACTGGTTTCTCCTGGGACCTGGATCGTCGTGAGATGAGAGGGGAGGCGAGAGAGGTCTGGGAAGATGAGAGATGGTCGGCGAGCGACATGCAACAGGTGGGCGAGCGGCGCGGCGAATGCTATAGTGTCTCTCTCTATTTTTCTTAGGGTTAGGAAGAGTCTAGATGAGGGTGGGAGCCTATGATGACGACGTGGTGGGCTGAGGGGTGAGGGGGAAGGGTTTGGGCCAAGGCCCGAAATAAGGTGGGCTGAGGAGTAAGGTAAGATATGTGGACTGGGGTGATTTTCGGTTGTTCGGTTCGGTAATCGGAATCTCGGTTCGGTCGAGAAGATCCTGGTTTCCGAACTAACCACATTACCTTTCCGAATTCCGAACCGAATAACTTTATTTCGGTTTCGGTTCGGTCTCGATCGGTTTCGGTTCGGTTCGGGTTTACCGAACCGTATGCCCACCCCTACTGAGGGGTAGTATCATATTCAGCATTCACCCTAGTGTTAGATAGACAAACTTTTAAGATAGGATCTGTTAGGCCAACAAGGTGATAGTGCTTTAGGTGTTTGAACTTGTTTGACAAAAGTTTCCGGTTCAAATTCATCTTCTTCCGTCTCCCATTCTCGTGAATAAAAAAATGTTGGAAAATTAGTTATTTACTTTCGGGGGAAAATAGAAGCATAGAACATGAATACAAGGAATAGATTAGGACGTGTCTAGGAGACAAGATGGATTTTGGGGAGTGATGTAGTATCGAGATGGATAATCTTGCATGTCCGATAAATTAATCATAGGTGGTGCTCTACTGCTCTTTCATGATTAAGGGCTTGGTCCAATGATATTATCACTTAAGTCAAATCAAATCTCTTAAGTAACATTAATTATAAAACAAAACCTGTATCACCGTGATATTTCATGTGGCCAAGTCCCAACTCACTTTTACTTAACCTTTTCTTAATCATCTTTCCCAACCTCAATCCAAACACATCATTAGTATAATGGGGAGAATGGAGGCCGGAAAAAAAAGTCATCAGAAACTAACACAGGAATTTGGCCAATAATAGATACTCTGCCATTTTTTTCTATCCTTTCAAGTTTCTGAGTCCTGTGGGATTTGTGGGTCTGCCAAGTGTTGATTTATATATATATAAAGGACCAATTTGTAATTATTATTATTAGCAGCCACGTTAGTTGTTAGGTTTAGTGTTGATTCCCTTTAAATAGCCAAACTGTACTTTGTAGCAGGTTAAGCCGTTTTACCCTAGTGAAACCCTTTGGAGAGTGCCGTTTCTCCCGTGGATTAGTCCTGATCATCAGGGATACCACGTTAAATCTTGATGTTTTATGCCGTTTAGCTTGATTAATTATCATGGTATCAGAGCCTATGCACTAAATAGTTAGTACGCTTCTCGTTTTCTTGGTGGCGGCAGCGTGAGTTCTTCTTCTAGCAATCTTGTTTGTTTTGGAGTTTGGTGATTGCTGGGTGTGTCGTTGTCGTCTAGTGAGGCTTTGTTGTTTGCTGCTGTCTTTGGGACTAGGTTCTTTTGTTGGCCGTGTGATTGTTGATAGTTGTAGCGGCATGGATCTATCTAAGGCCGATTCGGTGGCTATCAAATTTGATGGCAAAAACTATGCCATTTGGGAGTTCCAGTTCCGCAATTTTGCTGCGGGAAAACGTATGTTGCCCATTCTTCTTGGGGAAAAGAAGCAGCCTGGTGAAGGCGCTGCAGAGAAGAAGAGGGAAGACTGGGTGG